GAAAACAAACCTAGATCCAAGAAAACCGTAAATCGTGGCCCGCACCCAAACCGAGACACCCGCCGAAGAAAACCCCAAAACCCAAAATTTTGCTTGAATGAAAAAACCTACAAGATTTTCTTCAAGACCCTGGCATCCTAAGCCTCTGCCCTATGCTCCAAAACCTATACTATATATACTAAAATCCCAAACTTACACCCCCAACCTAATTAACGTTCCAAATTCAAAACCTAAGCCCCATATACGTACTAGACCCAGATCCCGCACAAGTAGCTGGCATATGTCGGAGGGTGAGAGTCACAAAACACCCAAGCCAATCACTAAAACCCCAAACCTACACCCTTCAGCTAACATCCGAAACCAAACAACCTACACTCCCGCCTTGAACATCGAAACAAAGCCCTCCTCACTGTTCTGTCGTCCTTCTTGACCTTCTTCCCTTTTCGGATCCTGCTCAAAGCACTCGCAGAACCCTGAACTGAAAGCCACAAGCATGTTATACATATATATATAAAGAAAGTCTAGAATCTAGAAGTCTCAACCCCAATCCAGCAAGATATTGCTGCTGCCACAGCCGGAAATTGGACAAGAGGCCGGCTTGCTCGTCGAAGCATCCGATGTCTCTCTGTACGGAGGCAGGAACTGACGCTTCACCGTCGAACCTTTGAAGGACATGCGAATGTTGATAGGAGCGCTGAGCTTCGCCGATTTCCTCCCCGAACGACTGCATCAATGGGAATACGTGACTCGAACGCCCACAAGCTTTGCCATGACGGTATGGTTGCGTGAGTCCGTCTTGTGACCGTTGGCTTTGGCCAGCTTCTTTCTTTCTCAATTTTTGCCTCACAGCTCTCCAGCTTCTGTTGACTCATGAGCACGGCCAGTTTGGCAGCCATGTCACCGTACCTCATCCAAACCCAGTATGAAGGGTAGGCGTCGCTAGAGCCCCGATAATCAATACAAGCCTAAGTCCTGAATCATGGACCTTGACCCTCAAGTCTATAGAAAACTTTGCACAAGAGGCAGGCATCTGTCGAGGCAATTGGCAGCCCTCCTCGAATTCAGCCTCTTTCTGTTCACTCGCCCACGAGAATCAAGAGGCATAGGCATAGACAAGTCTGATCTAGCTATCTGGGACCAATCCCTCTTCTCGGCATCTGAAGCTTCTGTAAGTAGCCAGATACACCCCCAGAAGCAACGCCCATTCTGTGGGGCACGCAGCACCTACAAGGGAGGTTGCCACAGTACGAAGGATAGGAAGGAGCTGGTTTTGTTTTGTTTATTGTCCGAACAGCGGGTCTGTGGCTTGTAGTTAACCTGCGTAGGTTTTTGGGGTTGAGGGTTTAGGGTTTCAGGATTTTCGGGCTGGGGCTCAGAATTAAGCTCAGGGCTGGGTACGGCAGAAAGGATGGTTCAGTCTTCATGGCATAAGTTTTAATGGGGGCGTTTTAGAAGGGGCATAGTGTCAGCAAGCAGCTGTTATTTGACATTGCAGGTGCCTCATTGACTTTTGGCAGATCTGCGCTTGAAGTCAGGCTTGTGCTGTATGTGCTTAGGTGAGGAATGTCGTAAGTGGGGATACCAAGTCAAAGAGACCACCAACACATCCAAACGGGCCTCCCCATATACCCGTATTCTTTAGGACGTCTTCAACGAGGCACCGTGAAAGGAAATCGGAAGTCCATTACGGTCGACCATAGCAAAGAACTTTACAACCCCATCGAAATCCTAACTGTCCATCTTAAGCCCAAGCAATCTCAAAGTGACTGCATGTGCAACACCCTGGAACGGCATGACGCCACAAGGCTCGCAAACGGCGGCCGTCAGGATCCGCACAAGCGATGAGGACTGAAAATCAAAATCCTTATCATTCATCACTACTAAACCCTCAACCCTGCAGACCCTGCACAACCTTAAGTTTGGAGGCCGTAAGCCGAGTAAGCCCGAAACCCTAGGCCCATAAGAAGAAACGAAACATCAAACACTAAACCCTGAAATTTGGAGCTCCTCAACCGCAAACCCATAGTTGGAAGCTTGCAGTTGGCCGCGCCAACGCCAAACTGTCCATGGGTTTGTGACGACGTCGTACATAAAAGACTGCTAATTGCAAGCCCAAAGTCTTACAAACCCTAATACCAAAAACCCTGAGCCCCAGGACCCGCAAAAATCCAAAGCCCTGAAGATTACACCCCGGAGCCACGAAAATCCGAAAGCCTTGGATCCCAAAACCTTAAACCCTAAATTCAGCTACGAATGTCGGGTTGCAATTTTCGGCGTGAAATACAGCTTCAACGTTTGAATTTGCGTGCATCTTTGGACGAATTTTTTTGGAGACTATCGTCTTCGGCTGCAGCCTGGGCGTGTAGGGTTGAGCTTTCAACATTGAGATCCATAATCACCACATTAGATGTACGGGCTTTTGAGCTTCTCAAGCGCAATGATCGTTCCCAAAATATGGTTAATTATACAATCCGGACCGTTGCATTAAGATGCTGACGAACACTGAACGGATTTTAGCCGCAGGCGGGATTGTGTAAACATTTTTTGTGACCATCTTGTGCTGATTCAATCCGGCTTTCTGCATCAGTGCTCAGGAAGAACCACAACTGCTGCCAGCCGAGAACTGTGGCGTGCTTCAGCACTTGATCGGGGTCACCGAACTCCAAACAAAATGAAAATCCTCAAAGCTGGTTGCTAAAACGGATTTGACCTTTGAGCTTTGCTAGGGCAATTTTGTCCTCGGTTGTCGAACACATGGACCTTTTCCTCATCGTCGTCCTCGAAAAACGACGATTCCATGGTGTCGTCCTACGCGGTCTCGTGCTCCGGGTGGTTGGTGACTCTGCGATCCGCTTCTCAGGATTTTGTCTGGTCCCGGCCCACGCTTTTCTAGCTCTTCTCGTGAAGCACCGCCGCCCTCTGGAGCTTGGTCGTGACATACCTGAGTCAAACCCAGCGCATCGAGTCGGCCCAGCTCCGGCAACCACCACGAGACGGGCATAGGACCAGTCAAACATTCCATTAAACTCACGGATTGCTGTTGAGGTCTTCCACTAAATTTCTTGAAGAAGCCGTTCAGCACTTCGCCGATCTTCCTGATCTCAATCTTCTGGTACCGCTCCAACAGGAGGAATCGCATCGTCTTGGGCGCCATGCGTCTTGGCCATGCTGTGCAGCCTCCGCCCAAGAATCAGCAGGCTCAGGTTCAACGCGTGAGTCGCCGCCATCCGCGGCCGACATTAACAGCCCGCAGCCTCCGCTACCAATCTAAAACACTAAGAGGGCTTCTCGCACAAACAAAAAAAATGAACATTCAGGTTCACGGAGTTCTGCGATTATCGCACTTCGCATGTCGACCCACTGTCTTGCGGATGTACAAGCGCTATAAAGCATCGGCGGGTGTTGAAGCCCCGCACGGAGTGCGTTCTTTGTTTTACGAGGAGTAGCTGGTGCAAAAGCGAGGGTGGATGCGAAACCCGAAACGGAACAGGAAAGTTGCTGGTTCCGGACACTCGAAACCATAAGAGCGGGTACGTGCGAAGCCCAACACCCTACAAGGAGTGGGTGCGTGTGAAGCCCGAAGATTCAAAAGGAGTGGGTGGGTGCAAGACGCAAAACCTTAAAAGGAAAACTCCAAAAAAACTACAGGGCTCTGCGCAACCCCTACAGATATCATGATCAGGCCAGGCATATCATAGCTCAACACAGGTTGCACCCCAGGCACGACAGAACTATGGCCATTCAAATTGTAGGATCTAGCATTCGCTCGGAAGACCGCTAAGTGGCAAGCTTGTACACCCATCACAGCTGGCCATGCAATTCCATCATAGCCGGCCAACCTTGTAAACCTACTTCTTTGCCGCCCTCTTGGCAGCACCCTTGGGTTTTGGCTTGTCCTTGTTCTTGTCAGTATTGCTTTTCTTGATTTGGGTCCTGATCGGATCCGCCTTGACTTTGAATTCCAGAACAGCCTCCTTGAGTGCCTTGGGGGCCAGCAACATAGTACCCGAAGGAGTGGGCGGGTGCAAAAGGAGTAGAGTAGACATCCGCCCGGAATTGAGAATTCGTTATCGAATCGCTTATTCAGGGAAGCCCAAAATCATTCCATCCTGAGCTAGCCCTTAGGGGGTCTCTCCAAGACCAAAGTCCATGGATTTAGAAAATGGCTACAATTATAGGAAATCCGCCTGAGCCGGAGCCCTTGTCGGATATCTAGATTTGAAATCAGAGCAAAACCTGGAAGACAAGTGGATGAGTGTCAATTGCTTGCCTCATTCTTTCTCCTTCTCCTCTGCATCCCTCTTCTCCTTCTCCTCTGCCTGCTTCTGCAGCAGTCTGCAGTTGCTGTCACTGCATTTGTCCAAGCTTGCACAAGGCCTGCACACGGCCGATCAGGATGTACTGCTAAAACTGCTCTACTATTGTTACTGTACTAGTGTACTACTAGTGTACTACCACTGTAATACTACTGTACTGCTACTGTACTGCTACTGTACTACTATACGATCACTGCCAGTCGTCCCAGCGACGAACCCGTCCCTGACGTTCATAATTTCATGGCCCTGAGGTCCGGCAATCTAGGGAGGGGTGTGGAGAGCAGGGCCCATCAAGAGCATGGATTAAGACGAGTAGCTGGTGAGGAAGCCCAAACCCAAAACCAAAGGGAGTGGGCGGGTGCGAGAACCCCAAGTCCTCAGAAGGTTTAGCTGGTGCAAAAACTCAATCATAAAAGGAATGGTGCGCGAAAACCTAAAACACAAGGAGGGGATAGGTGCGTGAACCCAAACCCTAAACTGAGTAGATGTTGCAAAACTGCAAGGGTTTAGGGTAACCCTCAAACCTCACAAACCGCAGGCACAGGCTACTTGTTTTGCTCACCTCGTGCCGTAAAAGGGGCTACCGGTACAAGCTATACAACATGGTAATCAGAATACGGTTTATATCCTGACACCCCTCCATGGCCAGCTGATTCCATGAGCTGGACAGCCGGCAGGCACTACTCAAGGGTTGCAGTCTGTACAAGGACCGAAGCCTCTTTGCGTAGCTTCTGCCCTCTGCAACGGGTACGGGTTTTGGCCCAAGTGTCTACAGTGTCTCCTATGAAACTTCTTGCCCTTACGGGTGACGTAGACGGGGCTACCCGCATTCGCCTCTAGACCTCGTCGGTCCACGCGGCCTCCAGTTGTAGGGGCCGGCTTCGTTGAAACACGTGGCGTGGTCCACCACACAAACGCAAGCTTGATCCATCGCCAAATGGTCTGGATCGCCAAGATATGGATGATCAGCATGTAGATGAAGAAGGAAACGTCTTCAGTCTCGAGCTGGCGCTCCTTCGGCTGCCCCGTAGCCACGCCAAAGGACGCGAACAGGCACGCCATGACCAAGCCCTTTGTGAGAGGCATGCCCTTGACTAAGTCGGCCCAGTTACTCTTCGTAGGTTCCTTCTGCACCGTAAGCTGCTTTCTCTGAACACAGTCCTGTATCCAAAGCTCCTTCATGGACAAGTGCTTCACCTTGCCCGAGCCTTTGCGTGTCGCGATTCCCTTCGCTGCGCTCGAATCGGTTCTCAGGGTAAGCTTCAGACCCTTAAACCCAATCCTTTCCAAGATCTGCGCTGTCAACAGTCCGGCGGCAGCTCCTCGAACCAACGCGTAGAACTCAGCTTCTCCAGAGCTAAGCGCTATAACCGATTGCTTGGCACACGAAGCATCGATGAGATGCTTCCCAAATCTCTCGGCGTAGCTGGACATAGACTTGCGCGTGCGCTTGCACGCTCCCCAGTCCGAGTCCGTAAGCACCACAGCTTCCTCAGGCTGCTCCTGGTACTCGTAGTGCCAAACTTCCTTCGGGTACTTCAAGAGGTAACGGCCTAGGTGCTTGAGCTTGAGCTCGTGCTCAACCGTAGGCTTTGCCATGCCAGAGGTGATCTCCGACAAGGCATACTGGATCGTCGGGCGATCCTGGGACAGGTAAAGCGCAGTACCAGCGAGTCTCCGGAACTTCGCTGCAGCCTCAGTGTCCAAAGGATCTTCGAGATCCCTGCGGCCTTTCCCACATTCCGTAGAACATGGGGCGTCTGCGCCCTTAGCGTCCGTAAGCCCGAGATCCTCAACGATCTGCCGCGAGTACTTAGGAAGACTTAGGATCAGCTTCCCAAGTGAACCCGCGCTCGCTCCATCGAATGATGCGGTGCAGATGATCGCCATGCGTGGTCTGGCCTCCGAACTCCTCAGGGCCAATCCGTGGCAATATCTTGCTCTCAAAGGATTGCATCATCAGCGCATCCAGTCGATCCAGATCGTCGCTTTCGCCCTCAGCGATAAAGTCGTCGCCGTGGCAGCTCAAGGTCACGCACCACTCGTCGTGGTAGAAGAGGCCAGGGATTCCTGGAACCTCCCAGAAACCTGCCTCCGTCATGACCTCACACACGCGCTTTGACCACTGTCGCGAAGCCTCACGTGTGCCATTCATGGCTTTGAGCAAGTACCAGAGCTTCGATTGATCGAGATCTTTCGGAGGGACGACCGCAATTTTGCCCGTGGCCACTGCATGAAAGAAGGCAACAGAAACATCATACCGGGCGATAAGCTTGCGCCGGTTGGTCCTGCCAGTCTTTGCAGTGGCTGCAGCTGAAAGTACCATGCGGTGCGTCCGCAACGGCGGTGTTCCACTGAAAACGTCGTCGCGCTCGTGGTCGTTGATCTCTTGGGCTACGCAGCGGCTGCGCACCCCATTCGGATCATTGGGCAATGGTTTCCAACCATCCACCCACCGGCTTCGGACTATCTTTAGCCCCTGCCGTCGCGCCTCCTCCCAAGAGATGTCCTTCTTGACAGAGTGTTCCTCCATCTTGTCCAGCTCGCGCCCTCTTGCAGTCTTGACCTTGTCAACGGGAAGGGGCTGGCCTGTTCGCTCGTCGTAGGCACCAAGCTCCTCCACTCTGCCGTCCAGAGGGTAAGCAAACAAAGGCTCCCACTCGCCTTTCTCGTGGAGCGTGGGCAGTCCCCCCATCAACTCCTGGTCCTCAAGAGGACGCTTTTCACCTCTTGCTTCTGGCGTCTTCTGCTTCTTCGCTCCCGCTGTCACTTGAAGGAGCGGGGACACCCGCATCCTCAACCTCTCGCTTCTGGCCTGACTTAGCCTCAGAGGTCCCCTCCATGGCCCTTGGCCTTGAAGGCTAACTCGGCTCGGTGCTTCCCGACTCCAAGTCTTGGCCGGTGCCCTGGGGCATCTCGGCCTGACCTCCTTCAGTCTCCATGGGTCCCGCAGGCGTCCCAGGGACTGGTGTACCAGGCGTTCCTGGCACCGGTTGTCTCGGGTACAACTTCTCGAACCTCTTACGGCACTCGTCGTTGTGCCGCTTTGGGTTGTCATCGTCACACTCACAGCCAGGACATCCGGGTGTCTTGCCGTGCTTGCTCTGACGCTCCAAGGTGATGTACACCGAGGGCTGCCTGCGACCTGGAGTCGCTGGGGCCTTGTTGTCTGAAGGCACGGTGGTTGGTTCTCCGCGCGGCTGCCAGGGAAGCCCAACCATCCCTTCGAGGTGTTTCAGCTCCCACCTCTTCTCCTCTGGGCTTCGCCGGATGCTTCTGCACCGACGGATCCCCTGAGCAGTGCCCAGGAAATGCTCGTCGGAGGCAAGAGACTTGCCTAGCCAAACTCCAACTGACGTTTGCTTGTCCAGCTTGCCAGTCTTCTCTTTGTCAAGCTTGTAGTGCACGACCTCGCAGCACTCAGCAACTTCGCCACGGAAGTCCCGGCCTCGAAGCCTTTCGTAAGGCGTTCTCCCGTCCTGCTTCACCAAGAAACGGGAGATGAGCCACCCTGCGTGCCGCACCAACCACGGGAAGACAACCCCCTCAGTCTCCAGGGGCTTCTTGTAGCGCTCCTCCAGCGCGCTCGCAAGAGTTCGCACCTGACGCGCCAGCTCCAAAATGGCTCGCTCGGCCGCGCCGTTAGATGCATGTGAACCCTTCGGTGCAGTCTGGTGCTGCACGCTGCCAGTCCAGGACTTGGCGGCACTTTCAGCAAGTGCCCGGCAGCTATGCTCAGCATCGCTCATCATGATGACCTTTTGGCGCCCGCAGAACTTGAGCGCTTCAGTCACCAATCCAGTGGCATACGGGTTAACGCCCTTAGCCACCACACCAGAGAAAACACAACCGGACTTTTCGTCCACGATCACCAGAATGGGAAGGAGACCATCCTTCTCATCCTGAGGCACCTTGACCTCCTCCACGGAGTTCACTGGGCCCTTCAAGGCCCGTCCCAGAAAACAGTAGTCCAGGGAGATGCGCGCCACCTCCGACGCGCGACCGCTGGGCTCCCGAGCTGAGTGCGCATCCTCACGCACCTTGCCGTGCATGCAGTGATCGCACCAGCTTCGCATGGGCAGATGCGTAAGCATATGCTCGTCAAACTCGGCTTTGCTAACCGTGTCCGGGATCTTCTTTGTCTTCGGCCGCCGCGTGGCCTCAGACACTTCCATTGGCACGTCGCCAATCTCCGGAAGCCTCTGGGCGGGGCCACCCGCGCCAGGGCCGTCAGTAGAACTCCCTGCACCGGCGGAGTTACCCGCACCAGGCTTCGCCCCGCATCGGCGGGGCCGCCCGCACTTGAGCTTTGGCCCGGCTGAGCGGAGTCACCCGCTTCACCAGGCTCCTCGCCTTCACCTGCCAGCGCCTTTGCTGGCACCGTCTTCTTAGCAGCCCTCGTAGCTGCTAGCACGTCTGGGTCTTCAACCCTTTCACTTTCTTTCACCACGTTCACTGGGAGCCAAAATACCCCTCTCTTCTTTCTGAGTTGCATCGTGTTTTCGGTCTCTCCTAGGGCTGTCCTTAGCTTACACGCATGCTTATCTAGAACCATACATTGCACACCGGGGCCAATCACCGTCCAGGTGCCTTTCGTGGCCGCTTGGCCAGCAGAAAGCACCGAAAACCTAACCTTTTCAGACTCGGCGTACTCTACCGAAAAGGTCCCAGCACTGGTTTCGAGCTGGCTCCTAAGCCTCTGGTCGCTAGCCAGGGGCTCACCCGTGACGGTAACCATCCCAGGCCCCGAAACACGAGAACCCAACAAAGCACCGGAGTCAAACCCTTTCCGAAACAGGTGAGACCCTGCCCCCGTATCTACAAGAACCTCGGTCTCACTGGCCTCGATGCTGGGCGTTGCCGCCACCACACCAAAGCAAAGGTCCGGCTCCTGAGGCGATGCAGACATGGGCTCTGGTTCTTCCTCGCCCTCAGCGGGGCTAGCCGCATGAGGTGTGCGGTTCTTCCCGCCACCTTTTGCTTTAGCTTTGGGCTTGGCTTTGGCATCGGCTTGTTTCTTGCGACACTCGGCTTCTACATGCCCTTTCTTATGGCAGTACCAACACTCACGGTCCTTGTTGGGGTTTGCGCCTTGGGGCTTTTGCTTGTCTGAGCCTTGGCCTTTACCCCCTTTGTCGCCTTTGCCTTTGCCTTTGTCTTTGCCTCTTTGCCCTTTTTCCACGGTGCAGCTCCAAGGTCCATAGGCTGCGGGAGATTCTGCAGGACGCGGTTGGTCCTCGAAATCTCCAAAAGTTCCGCCTTCACATCCGTAAAGGATTTGAGCCGGCTTGAGTTCCGGATGATGTGGCTTTGCAGGCTGCTGTCCTTTAGCCCATTCACCACAATGCCCAAAAGCATCTCCTCATCCAGTGTTTTGCCGCTCTCCTGTTCATACCTCCGAACGCTCTTTTCGAAAGCCGCTAAGTCCCCCTCAACATCATCACCAAACTTGCTTGAAAGCAACGTTGTGAGGGTGCCCACATAGCGTGACGCAACCCTCGGGTGGAACTCCTCGAAGATGCGCCGGTAGGACTCAAGACCTTCTCCGAGGCCCGTGTTATAAGTAATGTCAAGCGGCCTTCCGCACAAGAGCATCACTAAGATATAGTAGAGTTGGCAAGAGAGGTCCCGGTCCACATCCGAAAGAGCCCTGTTTGGGAAGCTCTTCTTGGAAAACTTTGCTTGCTCCAGCAGGTCAATGTACCTTGAGTCGATGCAGCTGAGGTAAGAGTCAAAGATGAACGACCAGTCGCTGAAGCTTTCCTCTGTGGACCCTTTAAAGACCTCAGGCTTACCGAGTTGCCTGGTGTCCACCAGGCCGGCCCTTGGGGCCGGTGGTTGGCTTGGGCCCGGCATGTCGGTATCGAAGGTGCTCTGCCTTCCCCGGGCCGCCAATCCTGACGCTTGCAGCTGCAACAGCTGGGCCTCCTGAGTCACCAGCCTGTTGTTCATTTGCTGCAGCATCAGGTTAGTTTGCTGCAACTGCTGGTGGAGCTGTTGCTCCAGCGGAACCTGGCCCGCCTGTTGGGCCATCTGGGGAGCTTGGGGGGTCCCAATCAACCCCGCTTCCATCTCCATCCAAGCTCTCACTGCTCTCCTCGTCCTCCGTCAGGAGAGGGGCTGGCGTGGCCTTTGGTTTGGCCTTGCTCTTTCGAGCGGTCCCCTTTGGTCGGGACTCGGTGCGGTGCCGATTGGCCTCCGCAACCCTTTGGGCCAAGGCCTTAGGAGAAAACCTCCTCAGCACGTAGTTGCGCGACGCCTGGTCCTGCAGGTACTGCAAGCTTCGCCGACCCGCTGCCTAAGCAATGCCTCGCCCACACTGCCCTTAGGAAGCCTCTTCCTGATGGCCTCCTGGGTCTCCACTCTCTCTCGGAACCTCTGCTGCGCAAAGCGAGCGGATTGCTCGGTCAGGAACTCCTCTAAGTCCCTCTTGCGCCCCGAAGCCTGCTTGCTTCGTGTCGGCGCTACCGACCTCAGGACCCGATTTGCCTGAGCCTCCCTAGGAACCCATCGAAGGTCGAGGCGGTTCCTTTCCTTCCTTCGTCGCCCTTCTTCCACTTGATCTTCTCGTACCCAGCCTCTGTCTGCCTGGGCGTCCCGAGGATCCGGTCTCGCTCCTGAGCCTCTTCCAGGCTATAAGTTAGAACCACCCGCCTCGGAGTACGACCTCGGCCCCTTGCCTCAGCTGACCCCCGGGCCGAGGGATCAGCGGCTGCCCTGTGGCTTCTTGGTGGCTCTTGCCGCTCCTCAGCGGCTGCAAGCCTTCTGGCTTGCCCGCGGTCCTGCCTCCTAGAGGTGGCCGCTTCACTTCTTTTCCCCCTCTTGTTCTTCTTCTTGGTCACCGGCTTTCCTTTGCCGCGACCTCGACCCGCCGTCTTGGCGGTCTACCTGCTGCCTAAGCAGCACTCGGGAGGACTATGCTCCCACACCAGCGCGGATCGGTCCGCAGCTGGTTCCTGTGACGCGGGACTTCCCGCGGTCACGTGTGGTGCGGGGCTGACCCGCAACCACCAGGGAGCGGGGCTTACCCACGTCCCTTACCTTCGCGGGGCGACCCGCAGAAGGTGAGCACGGAGTCCCTCAGACGTCCGGCTCCGCTACCATGCAAGGGTTTAGGGTAACCCTCAAACCTCACAAACCGCAGGCACAGGCTACTTGTTTTGCTCACCTCGTGCCGTAAAAGGGGCTACTGGTACAAGCTATACAACATGGTAATCAGAATACGGTTTATATCCTGACAAAAACCCAAGCGCGTAAAGAAGCAGGTAAGTGCGACAATACGAGACCTTGGGAGAAGCTGGTGCGGACACCCAAAACCCTGAACAGGAGTGCCTTGTTTCGTAACTCCAAACCTTGAAAGGAAGTGCGAATACCCAAAACCCTAGGAGGAGTACCTGACTCCGTAAACGTCAGACCCTAGCAGGAGGGCTCTCTAAACCGCCACGCGATATATAAACCCTAAACCGCCTCAACCCCTTAAGCCTGGAAGCTATCTGAACCCCAAGCCGTTTGTTGTGGTCTGCAGCCCCGAGCTGGCTCCGGCTACAGTAGGCGTTTGTCCGAAGGATCTGCATCAATTAGTGATCGTATTCAGGCCGCCGATCGTGCCCTGCAAGAGCGGAAACACGGAGTTTGAGGTTTCCGAGTGAGAAAATGCGAGGTACAGTTGAGACACGTCGGCAGGCATTTGGTTAGGCAGGACAGCTGGTATGTTGAAAAGCAGGAACACCCATAGCTTGGTTGAAAGAACTCTCAAAGCACATCTTGCATGCATGTCACCTGCAAGCAAGTAAACCGGCATGTGTCAAACTCAGTACATTCACCGAACCCGCAGACAAGCGCTTTGCTCACAACAGAAATCGAGCGGAATCGTCCAACGCTATGCGAAGCAGGCGCGATTTGGTCACAGGCATGTTCCGAATAGCTCGGTTTGCCATCCCATGTTTCATTTGGGGAGAGCAGTTCCTGTTGCCAGTGATGATCCTGAAACCTTGATCTTGAACCCCTTCAACCAGAACAACCAACCGACGCAACCATGTCTCAACCCCGCACTGGCGACACGTGCTCTCAGCCATCCTCTGGGGTGATGAAGTTGATGAAGGCATACCCGAGGTTTGCTCGAAACTTGACGTCCCGGGGCAAATAGAAAAAGTCGTACCTGCGCATCGCAAAAGTCAGCGGTGGCAGTTCAGGAGTTCTGCATGCGAAGACACAGCGCGTGAGGACAGTCCACCAGCCGGCCTTCCACCAAAGCCTTCTTCATCGATGGTCAGCATGACCTGAAAACATGTTGGGACATTTTCTAGCTGCATAGTATGTCTACAAGACACTGCTCGCTAGAGCTGATATGACCTCCTCTTGACTCTTTCGGCACGGAATGTTCTTCAACATCATTGTCCTTAATGAAGCGATACACAGCCGACTCTCCCCTGACTTTTTTAGAGAGGTCCGAGGTGGCATCGTGATAGGTTGTGTGGAAGCAGCTGCTGTTCCCTCCACAGTCTCATTGGGCCCACCAAACCTGAAAACAAAGACCTAACACTTCCTGCAGCGCTTGCAACCCACTTTTTGAGGACAGCACTTCTTGATGTAGTCCGTTCTCTTAGGACCACCTCCACTTAGAGGTACTTTCGCCTTCTCCTGGCTCCATGTTTTGCTATGACTGGCATGGGCATGTCGCAAAGAAGGGTCCTTGGCACCAGGCCTTAGGAACAAAAGCACAGAAGGCTGCCAGGTGCGGGCTCTCCAAGGCTCCAGCACGACAGCTTGTGGGTCCATAGACATCATGAATCCTGGGGCACCGAAAGGCAGCTTCGAGCACTGCAGACTCTACCGGGCTTGCCCTGATGTAACGGGACGACGAGTTCTTGCCAAGACCCACGTGCAGGCTCAAATTAAGAATTGCCTCGAGGTGCAGCAAGCTTTAGAAAGTGTTGTGTCGCACTCAGGGGGTGTATCCTCTTGGATGTTCGTCGGCAGCTGGCGAGCTATGGACCTATGAAGCCTTCCGGATATGTGAACGGCCGTCGGAAGTTTCTGGACTGACGCAAGTCCTGCCATGTTCTGGTCCAACATCTGCTTGCGGCCTCCGGGTTCAGGCCAGGCACTGTCTTTCTGACTCGACAACTCGCTCCGTATCTGCCTGCCATCAGCGCTTCATCTTCCATCATCCGTTTGCCTGAGGCAGAAAAAACCGCGAAGAACCGCAGGGCAGCTCGAGGCTGGAGGGCTGAAGGAGCAGCTGAACTCTGGACCTCGGCCAGCATTCACGGTCCTTCCACCTGTCCGAGTCACTACCGAACGTCTCTCTCTCTCTCTCTCCCTCTCTCCCTCTCTCCCTCTCTCTTGCTTGCACTCGGACAACGGGGAGGAAACCCCCTGCGCGCGCGCACCGGTCTCGGCGTCTCTGTCTCTATCTCTCTCTCTCTCTCTCTCGCTCGCTCGCTTCAGGGGCACGAATTCCCGGGCCGAGGCCCCCCCTTTCCTTCCCTGTTTGTGGAAGAGGGGCATTGGGGTCACTCGCTCTCTCTCTTCTCTCTGTATTTGTAGTTGTCACTCTGCACAAAGCACCCGATCTTGCCTCCCTTTTTCATGGAAGCTTGGCGGTTGCCTCTGAAATCGCAGGCGAACAGATACTTTGTATCCACAAAAGTCGGCCTCGCTGAGGGTCGACTTGGCCGCACCTCCGACAACAGTCGCCCGGTCGCACAGGCACCCGCATCTGATCAAGACTCCAGAGGTCAAGGCCCTCCGGGCATGAAGGAAGCTGCGGCCTGGTCAACAACAATGCATTCAGAATGCAGAGCTGTGCAGAGCTGTGCAGAGCTTGTGACCTGACAGAGCGGCCTGGGCTTGGGCCTGCATCTGCATCTGCCTGGAATTTCGGTGCGCAACACATCCCCCAACCTGCGACAAACGCCCGTCACGTGCAAGGCGGCGGCGGATCGATCGACTGACGCAGGCGTTCTAGCTGCTCCTTCAGCACATTGGCTGGGTGGCTACGAATCGGAAGCATTGAATCAGTCCTGTTGCTGCTGTAGCTGCAACTGCTGCTGCTGAAGTGACGAGATACCCTGTGCCAGCAGCATGCCTCCCGCCTGATGAAATGCGGAGGCCGGTGGAGGCTGGAGATGCCGCAGCTCCAGGCACCAACATTCACCAAGCTTGCCACTGCCATGAGGCCGCCCGCAAAGTTGTTAGAAGCTAGATTCAACCTGTCATGAAAAATTACGAATCTTCCACAATGATGAGCACATTGACTGCAACTTTCGCCGCATATTCAAAACGGCACAGTGCACGGAAGATTCTGACCAGCCCGCCAGTCAACACCTTGCCACCAAGGGAGTGGAATGACGCGCATGAGGATGGTGCATTGCTACGCTTCCTGTGCCTCCAGGATACGGAGCGTCAAGACCTCGCGACCAGAGCACCTGCAGCGTGGCTGCATCTTCGAGAAACTGACGTCTCGTCAGTGCCAACACCTGCTGAGGAGGAACACGTGATCCGGCGTCCTTGCAAAGGCACATCGCTTTGCTAGCAGCTGCTAGCAAACAGCAAAGCTTCGGGCGCGCCTGGTGTGGAGGAATTCGCGATCCTGCATCCTGCTGTACACAGAGCGATCAGGACTTATCGAACCCAACAACCTCCTCCCACTTCCTCAACACTTGGACACGGCACCTGTCCGACGAAGGTGTTTGCTTGCTGCAGGAAGCCTGTCCAGGCAGGACTACGCATGGCGATTCGGGTCTAAAACACACACATAGACACAAAAAACAAAAATGAAACCGCCAGTGAGCTTGTGGTTGGACGAAGATTCTGCTACGATCGTCACCGAGGCGGAACAGTCATAGCAGCTGTCCTGCACCGACTAAATAACTCGCCAGGGTTGTCACGTGCCCTTCCGGCCGAGTAAAGTTGGCCATGCCTCCACCGTTGCTCTCGTGTGTTCGAGTTGTCTAGCTCTTAAGCACGTTTTAGCTTTGTTGAACGCCACATCAAGCCTCGTTCGACACAACCGCCCCTACTCTAACTTGAGCCGAACCCTATCTCGTTGGATAAGACTTGTGCCTGCTATCGCAGCTCTGCCGCTATGCCATGCACTGCAAAGGTCTTTTGCAAGAATCTCTGCCTCGACTTCTACATGCTAGCATGACGACAAATCCCCAGCCGGCAGCTTCAAAGCAATTCGACATGAACCCTTATGTAGGCGCAGACCTGGCATCTGCCCAGGAAAGCCACCGCATCCACCTCACAGCCCAGCTCACAGAGAACCCAATGAAGCTATGATCGCAAGAGTGCATCACTGTCGAGATCGCGTCCCAGCTGTGCACCTACAGAGTTCGCAAATTTGATGCAAGGCCATGCAGACTGCAGATAAAAGACCATATCGAAGCAATGACTGCACCTGCGGCACCATGCATCGGAGGACATCCTGCCAAAGGCACCTGCACTTTGAATGCTCTAGCACATCCAACCTTTCTGCAACATCTACAGCAGAGTTCGACAAAGCACCTCCATGTTGGGAAGAAGTGGCTGACCTGGCAGCCCACCTCTGTAGCCAGATCCTCAAGCAGGCACTCTGCTTGGATTCACCACGTCGCCGACAAGTCCGGCGAAACATTGAAACGAGGCAAGCTCTATCTGCGATTTAATGGGAAGCCTTACAAAAGGTTACACACCCAAACGAAAACAGGCGCATGTACGTGTTTGCAGATGGCAAGGACCCCTTTCGTGCTGAGGGGAGGTGGCTGCTTTGCCGGACCCTGCACTAGTTCGGGCTTCACTTCTTCTGTGGGTCGTGGTCTCGGTGTGGGCTCAGGGTGCGCAACCGTCACTCTCACAGCGTCTGTGCTTTGAGGTGCAGGGATTCAAGAAACACGTGCGCAACAGTGGTAGCAACATGGCTGGGTCCTCAACTGAAGCTGAAGATCAGCTCTGTGTTCGCTAAAGTCAAGAGCTTTGCTCAGAAGCAAAGCTAGACCGAATGCTGCAGAGCGAAGTCGACGGTCCAGTGCCCCGTACTCTGAAACCGTTGCTAGATCCTGATGTTAATGCCCAATGTGCTGGAGTATGCAAGCTGCATACCCAACATGTGATTCAGGTAAATGTGGAACATGTGACGCTTGCAATCCACTGGCGCAGGCACTCATATGGTATGTTTGATCTGTATCACAACAAATCGGCGAGATCTTCACTGGACCTTGTCGAATGCATGTGCGTCCATGCTGCCCTAAATCGGCCAAAGCTGAAACTTAACTCTGGACAAACAGGATCAGTCGATTGTTTGTTTCATTCCAACACAGAGGAGTAGGATGTAAAGAGGATTCTGGCTTAGCCTCTTGCCATATTCATGGCTAATCCAGCTGTGCTTCCAGCACCCAGGAACTGGCCTGCAGGTACGTTTGCCTGTCCATCTGACACAGAGCTTCGTTGGCGCGAGCTGTGTCAGAGGACCCCGCGCCCCCTGCATGAAAGTATACGAATGAATCATTGAAACCTTGGCAAACAGGTGTTCCACACACACACCCCGCTTTGCGGGGTAGCCAACAGGCTTTTGTGCTCGGCCCTTGCTTTGCATTAGGGAAGCGGAAAAAGAAAAGAAAAAAGAAAAGACAGATGTTTGCAGGAGGGCGGGCGGTTGGCTGTGTAGCCTTAAAAGAAAAGTAACGGAAACGAAAAGTAAAGGAGTTGCAGCTGGAGGCCGCCCTTCGGGATTAAAAAACCTCTCTGGCTGCGAGCATTGAAATAGAAAGGAACTGTGACTGCGAAATGACACATGCGGAAAAAGAAAAGACAAATAAGGGGTGGCCCACATTGGGCACTTCAAACCCCGTTAGAGGACTGCGCTTGCAGTTCGCAGGTCTTACAGAATGCCGCAGCCCTGCAGCGCATGTCCTATTAATACGGTCAAGCATCCACAGTTCGCAGGTCTTACCAAAATGCCGCAGCGCTGCGGTGCTTGCCGACCGACAGCTGAAACAGCCAGGGCGTTTAAGAGAGCAGCGTGGGTGTGACGACCAATGATACCCCCATTGTTCCGTTTCTGGCACAGCAATTGGCGCAGTCTTCTGGATCATGTGACAGCTGTGAATCTGAGTGGTGTCCAGGGGAGAACATTCTCGGACCGATCAGGGTCCTTCACTGCAACTGGGCCGATCAGGGGCATTGCTGTGACAAAACAGATACTTAGTCCCGTCGAAAACTAGGCGATCATGCCTAAGGCGAAAGCATGACAACTCCGAAGAGTATTTGCTGAAGCGAGACCAAAGGGTCTTGGTTTGATTTGAAGCCGATCAGGGCTCGGACCGATCAGGGTCCTTGAATGCAACTGGGCCGATCAGGGCCATTGCAGTAGGCAACCCTACCGTAGACGACACGATCGACGAAAGCCGTCTAGAGCACACTCGTGCAATCCTCCCTCTGGACAAACAGGATCAGTCGATTGTTTGTTTCATTCCAACACAGAGGAGTAGGATGTAAAGAGGATTCTGGCTTAGCCTCTTGCCATATTCATGGCTAATCCAGCTGTGCTTCCAGCACCCAGGAACTGGCCTGCAGGTACGTTTGCATGTCCATCTGACACAGAGCTTCGTTGGCGCGAGCTGTGTCAGAGGACCCCGCGCCCCCTGCATGAAAGTATACGAATGAATCATTGAAACCTTGGCAAACAGGTGTTCCACACACACACACACACACAAACACACTCGCACATGCCCAAACTTTGAGGAGGTTGAGACGAACCTTGTGCGTGGCTGCTTCAGCTCTTACATGATATGCCTGCAACATGTTGGCTGAACACTGCCGATCTTGTTGGATACCCCATCCACAACCGTTGCTTCGTCTAACCGGTGGGCTGTGGATGCTGTTCGCCCTTGCTGGCATGCATCGCTGACAACGGTCCCACTGGCAGGAGGCACACAGAAGTCTTGGGTGTGTCCCCGGGCTGCCGCGAACTAGGAAAGTACACAAATGCCCAAACACACAGACACACAGTATGACTCACCGACGGTTCCTGGCCAAACTCCAGCACTGGAACTTACTGCCGGGGCTGGAGGAACTCCAAGGCCACCCAGGCCTCAGCACAAAAACCACCAGCATCCATCAATGAATACTTGTGGAAAGCCTCTACCAAAAATCATCAGGCTGGGGATCTAGCATGGAACATCGGCTTGCATTTGGCCCTCCAGGACGGGTTGAAGTTGGGAGCCTTTGCCAGTCACATTGACGTTCTATGGCCTGGAAAACCAACAAAACAGATGCAAGATCTTCCCTGAGGCTCGACGCAACAACTGGTCCTGCTGCGCTCGCAGTTGCAGCATTTGCTTCTCCAGCTCGTTCTCCCCGTCATCCCTATCCACCGGCTGGCCTGGAAAAATTGACAGCAACTTGTCCAACGTGCCGCTACACCTGAAAGAAAACAAGTTGCATATCTAAAGGACAACTGTGGTCCTGGAATGCCCAGCTTCAGCAGATCACCGAGACGCATAGACGAGGTTCCCTGCCATGGCCATACAGCAATGGAAACTGAGGCAAACTCGAACAGAGATAAAATGGCGGTCAGATGGGCCTCTGCCTCAGCGGCTGCCCCTTTCCTTAGATGTGCAGCTGCAGAGCTCTCGGCACGCTGGAGGATCTGCTAGACCAACAGTGACAGGACCAACATTCGCCGATTCGCGTCTTGCGAGGTCGAGCCGATACCTTCTTCGGCGAAGCGAGATCTCGGAGCCAACGCCCATCCTTCAGCAGAAAAGCCTAGAGACACCTAAGCCTAGGGCCTACAGGGCCTGGGCATACAGCTGAAACCCAGCGTCCGAGCCTGCGCCGTCCCGAAGTGAACAAAGTGTTCCAGGTCCTACGCAACAAAGCAGCACGCTGGATGCGTGACCCTGACGTTGCCGCCTCTGGATCTGGAGCTTTTCCAAGGAATCCTGTCAAGTTCACGGTCGTGCAAAGCCCTCGTCACTCCTTGCAAAGCTTGGCATACAGCTGCCTGCATCAAATGGCACATCCGGACCTGGCTCTCACGGCAGAGTCTCAGACATCCACAAGAAAGCTGACCGTTTGGCCAGTTTGGCCTGCTCCCAGGTCCACATTGTCCTTGTGAAGCAATCTCACAGCCCCTTTCCATGCTGTTCTCTCGAGGAGCTGACCCAAGGATCGGCTCGTTGTGTCGGGGAGGCAGGCGCGCTGTTGCCGCGGTGCGGAGAGCCAGGCTCATCGGAACCTGTTCTACAGTTCTGCACTCTCCATGCAGGCAGTGCAGGCAGGGAAAGGGCTGTGTCCGCCTGATGCGAATTCATCGCGAACGTCAATGAAGGTGTTCCGCACCACAATTCCTGAATCGCAAGCGCAACCCATCGCAGCAAGTGGCCTAGTCTCTCCACCGAGGCCGCTACTGGAAGGAGAGTCGGGCCCCATACTATCTGGTGAGTCGGGGCTGTCAACGCTGACCGTGCTCGGAGGTGAGATGACCTGTTCCACCTGAACTGCAAACCAGGATGAGCGGCTCCACAGCTCCACACGCTCGAAACTGCATCAATTTTTTAGTAGCAGATGATACCAGGGCTTGTAGTCGAAAAAAACATCAGCCGATCAGCTCATCAACGCTAAACCCTAAACCTCTAGACATCACAACCACTAAACCCTGAACCCCTAAATCCCTAAACCCTAAATCCTAAACCCCTAAACTCCTAAACCCTAAACCCCTAAACCCTAAACCCCTCAAGCCTAAACCCCTAAACCCGAAACCCTAAACCCAACCACCCCATCAACAGATCGGTTGATCGGCTGAGGAAAAGAACCGCTGAGCCCAATGGTGCTCATGCTACTGTGCAGCCGGAAGCACGTGTTCAATCATGTAACACGGCAGAATTGCAACCACAGGCACTGTGCTGGTTCTTAGCCGAGATCACTCACCTTCGATGCTCCTTACTCCTGCACAAATTAGTTCTGTGGGCATTTCCGTTTTCTTTTCAATCAGACTGTGTCTCGCATTCCGTCCCAGTTGATACATGTGTGCAAACAAGCTGCTGGGTTCGCGGTTTGGTCTGTGGCGGCCTCGTCGTCAGGCAGACTGTGGAGCTTTCGCACAGGCCTCCATGGGTCGGCCTGCTCTCTCTGTCTGCGAGGCGGCACCGTCACCGGAGCTGGCCGCCGGACCTGTTCAGCTGACGCAAACGCGCACACCACGCACACCACGCACACCACGCACCACACTACGACAGAAGTGCACCAAAAGGGACAAGAGGCCGCCAGTCGCCCTCGGCCATCCGAGCTTGGACTGCTTTCACCAGCTGGCTGAGCCTCCATGGCCTGGAAGCCTGGCAGCGCGGCCGCGAGGCTCTGCAATGCTCTCTGCGCAGGTCGCAGGTCGCCTTTCTGCTCCGGCAGCACGCCGGATCCCACCCAGTGGTGTCAGAGCTTGAGCCCAGCCAACGTCGTCCTAGTTTCTGCTAGCGGTGTCGTGACCACAAGTAGGCGGGAGGATGATAACGTCCACGCGACCTTGTACGATAACAACTACGTCCAGCGGCACCCTCACCACGGTGATGAATGCCGACATGGACAGTGCAGGTCATGTACCAGCTCTCAGCCATGACTGCGCACCCATAAATACAAAAAGGAACTTCCGGTCAACAAAACTGCAGAGACAGCCTCCGCAGCAACTGGTTCGAACTCGACTAACTAGACCCGGATTTGGACGCGAACGACAACGAACCGGACAAGGCGGGCGAAGGGGTTCGAGTGTTAAGCACCATCATTCCTCCAGCAAAACCACCATCCATCCTCACTCAGCGCTACTAACTATTGCCAACCACTGTCACCACAACTAGCACAGCTAGCAGCACCACTAGCACTAGCAGTAATTCAGTAGGAATACGACCAGCGCCAACACTACGACTAGCACTTCTGCTCCTATCAGCTCAACTACTACATTACTACATATCCTCCCAGTACTTCTACAGCTACTGCTCCAGCCACTCCTACTCCTACTCCTACTACTACCATCACTACCACTACCACCACCACGACCACGACCACAACCACGACCAATACCAGCACCACCACCACCACCACCACCACCTCCACCACCACCACCACCACGACCACTACTACTACCACTACTACTCCTACTACTACTCCTGCTCCTGCTCTTGCTCCTGCTACGACTACTATACTACTACGACGACTACTACTACTCCTGCTACTTACTACTACTACTACTATTCAATTGAACGCTGTGCGAGCGGGCTCAGCACATAGCGGGCGATTGCCGCGGTGCACTCACATGGTGTGAAACTGACTCAGACCCTATAGCTGAACAGCCCAGGTCGAAGACCTTTGGGTGTTGGCGGCCTACAGGCTTCCAGCTAACTGGCAGTGGTCAGCCGAAGCAAGTTTGTAGGCTGCCAGGCATCAAGCTTCAGATTGTTGTGTGTACCTGAGCGAGGATAGTGATTATGCAGCACTAGTAGCAGAGGCACAGTTCTGCGACTGGCAGAAGGCGAGGCATGTTTTTCTCTGACAGCGGCGGCAATCAGCAGAAAGGCCGTCAGTCCGTTCCGGAAGAAACGAAGTAGAAATGCAGGCATGGCCTCCGCATTGCACTGCATAGGTTGCCATTGGCACCGGTGATCAAAGTTGGAGCTCACTGGTGCCAGGAGCGGCTGCCACTGGCCCCCGAGTCCGAGCCACGATTCCACCACCCTCCTCGGGTCCAGGCATCGCCGTCCCTGTAGCGCTTGTCTGTGTGAGACTGTGTCTCTTCACCAGAGCGCTTGTCACGCTGTTCACGCTGTTCACGTAGCTCGCGTTGACGATGCCATTGGTAGGTGGCCGTGTCGCCCTTGTTGTGTTCGATACGGAGCTTGCGGACAACTTGACCATCCCGAGGCTGGTAGAAGATGGCGCGATTTTGGCCACCACTCTTCCTGGAGGACTGGTCATAGATGCACTTGAAGGTGGAGGCCACGATCTCGAAGTTGTCATCCGTTTCGAGCAGTGCGCTCATGTCCGGATGATCCCACATCTTCTGAAAGAGGGCGTGCACTATGCCATAGTAGGTCGTGGTGGACTTGAGCTCGGTGTAGCGATCATCTTGGCCAATGGATAGTGTGAATTGGCCATTGGCCCCGACCATAAGCCGCGCTTGCGTGATGTCAAGCCAGTTGGCATCCTTGTCAGTGGCGACCTTCTTGATCGGGGCGAAGATCCATGGCACCTTGCCCAGTGCCCGAAACCGATTGGTCCAGAGGTAGACCTGCTCGGAGGCCGTGAGGCCACCCACTATGGCCTGCTCCTTCATAATGGAAATGGTCGCGAAGGCATGAACCCACTCCAGCATCTGGTCAGACTGGCAGATGTGGATAATCTGATCTCGCTTTGGCAGTTGATTTGCCTCTTGCTCTGGAGAGGGGTTGACACTGTACTCCACCAGCTTGGTCGTAGTGACCGGTCCCTGGTATTTGACCTCTGCACGCGTAGAGGGGGCATCCACAGGGGAGGATGATGTGGTGTCAGCCGGGCCTGGGGTCTGCGGGACGGTCTCCTCGGTGGGGGCAGCCGTCGGAGTCACATTCTGGGCTGAGAATGCATTGAAAGGCCGATCACTTGTCTGGCCAGAGCCAGCAGACTTGTGTGACTGCGGTGTGCTCGCCGGCAGCATCGGAGTGTCTGGCGTGCCCACAGTGTCTTCCGCCCATCCCAACGTGGGAACAGCAGTGGCCTGTTTCTCATCCTTGATGTCCGCCTGTTGGTCATTGACCCCCTGTTCTTGTTTCACTGCAAGAGGCCGGTGGCCCTGCGCATGTGGGGTAGGACCTGGCGGAATGGGAGGGAGGCCGAGCCCAAAGCGTGCCTTAGACACCGACGCTGTGGGTCTCCACTGGGGCGGACGGTCCGCCGTGGGTTCTGGTTACTACTACTACTACTACTACTACTACTACTACCACTACTACTACTACTACTACTACTACTACTACTACTACTACTACTACTACTACTTCTACTACTACGCACCGGGCTCTGCGGGTGCCCGCTACCCAGCGCAAAGTCGTTGTGACATGGTAATGCGCAAAGTACTGTACATTACCGTACTTTTGTAGTTTTCAAGAAACATGTATGTAGTACGGCCAGAAGCTCGTAACGGACAAACCAAGTAGTTTTGATGTAGTTGAAAGCCTTCGTAGTTGAGCTAAGAAGCCGAAAGTAGTGTAAATACCAGTAAACCATGTGTAGTCATGACAAGTTTGGGCATGAACGGTTTTCGGGTAAATGTCGCAGATATTTTTGCGGGATTCGTTGCTAGGAACCCTTGTCGATTTCGGAACATGCTCGTATGTAATTAGAAGTCGAAGGCCTAGCTCCTGTAAAGAAGTAGCTCCACCCGACATGCAGGTGCGTATACATATATATATATATATATATATATATATGTATATCATACACGCACACACGCACACACACGCACCCACACCCATACATGAGGAACTACAGTTCTAGTCAGGGGTTTGCACGTGCATGCAGTCATACGTCATATGCTTGCTACCGAAATCAGCATATGCAGCATTTCGCCTTTCTCAGCTCCCTCGCGTCTCGCTCTCAGGGCTTTGGGTTTGTGGGTTGATTTGAGAAACTGTTGAAAAAGCCGTGGGAAACCTGCGAGAGAGTTCTGAGAACCTGCGAGAAACCTGTGAGAAAGCTCTGATAAACTTGCGAGAAAGCTGTGAGAAACTTGTGAGCAATCTGTGAGAAGCCCCTGAGAAACATTTGAGAAGATATTGAGAAACCTGTGAGAAAGTTCTGAGAAACCTGTGCGAAACCTGTGATAAAGCTGTGAGAAACCAGGGAGAAAGCTCTGAGGAAGCTGTCCGAACATCTCTGAGAAACCTTCCTCACTCAGACAAGAGTATGGGCAGATTAAAGCTAGCTTGGCCCGTGGGCAGTCTGCTTCCAGCAACTGGTGAGGGCACAATGCAGTTTCAGCAGACTTCGAAGTTCACGGCTGTGTGAGGTGAAACAAGCCAAGAGTGTGAGCTGTGATTTCCTCAGCAAAACACGCAACTAACCCCCCAACCCCCCTCCAACGACAAGAATCGATGAATCTGTCGGGGCGCCGAGTGGGCCCAGTCTCTACTACTACTACTACTACTACTACTACTACTACTACTACTACTACTACTACTACTACTACTACGACTACTACTACTACTACTGCTGCTGCTGCTACTACTGCTACTGCTACGACTACGACAACGACTACCCTCGGAACCGGTACTCCCGTCCAGACCCTCTCAGAACCAACGACAGTACAAACGACTCAGAAGACAAGTATTCGCAACGAGGTTTCGCCCTGGGTGTTAAATAAAATTGCAACGCCTGCCAAGTGAACCAGTTCTTTGAGCACTGCCTAAACATCCTGATAATGAGAATTCCGCAAACCCGAAAATCCAAGTGCGACCCTTCATGACAATGCAAACGCAAGTTTTCAGCTGCCGCTTGTCACAGTGAGAACACCTCGGTGGGTGTCAACCTGGGCCGATATGCACATGCGAAGAAAGGAGGAGATGAGGAGGTGGGCTGCGGGGCTCCAACTGCAACGATGCGCACCTGAAGTTGGTCGCCGATCCTGCAAGTGCGACAGTCCCATGCATTACAGTTATCAAGAAAGCATTTCCACATTTGCCCCCACGTGTTTTGACACGGTCCGGGTGCTGGATGAGGTCTCCAGGAGCAAAGCTTGTGCAGCCGACCTCATTCTTCTCGCGCGCTCTCTAGAGCCGTAGCAACCGTGCACCAAGGCCCGATCCCGCCATCTGGATGGCTGACACTGAGCATTGTCCCGAAAGGAGTATCTCCCTGCACCTGACAAAGCAAAAAAACACTTCCGTGACTGTGTCATGCTGTCTCCTTGACAGGCTGAACTCGGCAAGAATGTCCAAACACTTTCATGCTTCAAAAGATGCAAGACTCCTACAAAGGCGACCAATCCACAGGCTGCCAGCAGGGCCGTTATTTCATGGAAACCTTTTGGCTGACGACAAGTTCACACAGGGGCTCTGATCCTCCACATCGGCCTGAACAACTTATCACGATTGACAGAACGACATGTCGAGTATTGTTGCATGCAAGCCGTGCCTATGCATCACTGCTCGGAAGACATCCACAGGAGTTCGAAAGGCTACTCTGTACTATGCGCTGTGACACTGCTAGTCTCCAAGATTTGCAGATGAGGTTTCGTTCCCTTTCCGAAGTCAGTTTGCAGCAGTCGAACTGGTCTCTTGCAAATGAAAACAGGGTTTAAACAACGTTCTGTGAGCGCGGAACGAAGAAGGAACCTGTGACGGGAAAACGGTCACTGGGGTCAACATACACTTGCTGTTCGAGTCACAGGAAAAGCGGCAGAGCAACCAACATGAATGTTCAAGCAGTTCAGGCTAGTGCCGTAATGTGAACGGTACCGCAGGACGGAACGGGGCTGTGGGACAGGATGCTGGAGTGAGCAGATGCCATGAGCAGAAATGGAAGGTACAAACGACCATGGGATTGATGTGTGACTTATCCATATTACACAACAGGAAGCGAGGATCATGGTGAATGCCATGCAGAGTAACGTGTCTACGATGAGATCATGGGCAGGAGAATGACGAGGCAAGTGTTTGCTGCATTCTAACAGAAAGGCATCATATATCCACAGCCTCTCTAAGTCCAGTCCGACTCTTGATCTGCCATGTGCGAGAGCATTCCTGACAACGAAACCACACATGCAGCAAAGTTGGAAAGTGCCAGCTTAAAGCCATCACTGAGTCTAAATGGGGGTTTAATCAGCAATGGCTCGAGCACGTAGCTCGTTGCCCAAGTTTCCCACAAGTTGCTCGTGACGTCTTCCTTGTGCTCCCTGCTTCTCAAACCTCATGTCTTGAATCTGTGTCTGCCGCTTTATTTCTGCAGCTTTATGCTGAATCGGCTGGGTGGCCTTTGCTTCTCTGCTCTGCACATCAGATAACGACATTGAATCTGCAACCCGACGCCTCGGCATGTAGTTGAGTGTCCGGGGAGATTCCGAGGAAATCCTTCAACCGATTTCGAAGAGCCTCTTCAGCGAAACACATATGCGACTCAATGCACTCAACACAAACACTCTCAGCCCGCCACACGAATCTGAAGATCTTGCATATCCGTGGCATCCGGTCGATCCGCCGTCTCCTCCTTCTCAACATACACGGCGCTCCAGAAAGTGGTAACTTGTAACTAGAAAGCGTCAGGGCCCCGGCAAGGACATGCCAACTCGCCTCTTCAAGAGGCACACCCTGCAGTGGTCCCCACCATACAGTCAACCCAACTTCCCCAAGGGCTCATCGCAGAAATGTACTGCGCACAAAACACTGGAAGCCAGAACACAACGTCACAGCACCTCGTCTGTCGGAGCCTTCATCGAAAGGGCCAGGAGGCCTTACAGCGAACCAGAAGTTCCACGCTCAGAGGCTTTGCGACCGCAGAAGCATACGGAAGCCTTCTTCCATCTCACCGAGTATCCTCACAGACACCTTTTGGCCAACTGCCTTGGCTGCCGCATCTCTGTGGTGTGGACCGCCAATGCAGGACTCGGACTAGGATCGAAGCAGCAAGCTTTGGGCTTAGGGCTCCGCGAAAGCTGTTTCCGGCTCCTCTCTCTCTCTCTCTCTCTCTTTCTCTCGCTCTCTCCTGCGGGCATGAGGGACGGTCATGTCCCCCGGGCATCATGCCCACCCAACGCGTTGTTGGGCACAGGGGAGTGAACATCGAATGTAGATCGGGCTACGGCCATGAAGTATGCAATATCGAAACTAGGACGATCCTACATTCTCAGCGGAAAGCGTGCATCTGACCGACGACATTCCCGTGCTTTTGCCGGAACAAGAATAAGAATATGGATCATTGAAGGGGAGATTGGTTGGTCAATGCTTCCGTTGCCGGAACAAGAATAAGAATATGGATCATTGAAGGGGAGATTGGTTGGTCAATGCTTCCGTTGCCGGAACAAAAATAAGAATATGGATCATTGAAGGGGAGATTGGTTGGTCAATGCTTCCGCCTGAAAGTGTTGAGGCTACAAACTAAAGCATCAGCTTGGAGTTTCTACCTTGGCTCACCACGACGAAAGCAAAGCATCAACAAAGCAGATCGTCGTAGCGCATGAGAGACCACATGTCAAGCTGATTATTGAAGGTATCAATACATGGCCGTCCTGCTGTTTGGATGTCAAACCTTTCCTTCCCGCCCTCTTGCTTGCACTCAGCCAAAGAGGGCGCAGCTGCAACCCCCTCGCGCTCTCTCTTTCTCTCTCTCTCTCTCTCTCTCTCTCTCTCTTCCCCGGAGGGTGAGGTCCGTGATTGCGGAACTGCAGCCTGCAGTCAGATTTGTCGGCAAGCATGTTTGAGTGCATCTCCACAGCCCTGCAGCCTGGCCTTGAGTGTAAAGCGTGTATGTTTGAAGGGTTGCAAGCAAGCTAACATAGGGGCCTTAATAAATGGGTGTTCGAAGTCCCCGGCCGTAGGGGCCCCCCCGATTATCATGGGAGTGTGAAAATCGGATGCACCACATCGGCAGGGTGCACTATGTTTAGCATCCCCTCTTCAGTTTGCAACTCTCTCTCTCTCTCTCTCTCTCTCTCTCTCTTTCTTTCTGCCGGGCAGAAGGGTTGCGGAGCGACCCACAGGCTTAGGCCCGCCCGACCACCCCGTGGTTTACGGAGTGATCGGCTTTTGGGGTACTCCTGAGTTCGGCACTGTACTACTGGGTTTGGCCCAAACTTCCGAGTTGGCGATCCCCCCCGAACACTAAACACAACACAACCCCTGCCTCATCACCGCGCCCTTATGGCTAGCTTATGCACCAACTCGGCGAAAGGTCTTGCTTGCAATCGGACAAAGGAGCACGCAAGCGCCCCTCGCGCCCGTAGGCGCACCGGTCTCATAGTCTGTGTGACACTGCCAGCACAATGAGGATCGGCCCGGCCCCGTAAAACCGCCTTTACACCCTCTGCACATGCAACACAACCCCCGGCCTCCGGCCTCCTCTTCCCCCGTTGTTCGGGGTTGCTGCGTGGGTTTCTGTGCGTCCACCAGCGTTGGTCAGCTGTGCTGTCCCAAAACTGCAACACCGCAACACTCCATGACAACTTATAACATGTCACACACTGGGCTCAGCACAGCACTCCGCAATCACTCTGAGGGCCGAAAGGTCTCTCTCTCTCTCTCTCTCTCTCTCTCTCTCTCTCTCTCTCTCTGTCTGACTTTGACCATTCAGACAAGGTAATGAACTCAAAGAACCCATAACCGTCCTCGAGATATTGGTCCATCTCAGTAACATACACCAACCCATGGCCACTCGGAATCTGCACGATCAGCCCGTACTTGTGCACCTAGCAGCTCTGAGGTCAGAGATCCAAACCGAGTCTCCTGATGGGTGTCATGGCCTCGTCGACGCTTCCATAGATCCACCCCACGTGCAACTCCTGGGAATCGATGGCCTTCGTGGACAGGAAAAGCCTGCAAGATGCAGGAGGGGCTGAATTGCGTCGCATGCAACATGCCAAGTGAGAACATGTTCGGAGGCCCGGCGATCTCCCTGCAGCTGCGAGGGCTCCAAACTTCCAGCTGGTGGCAATCGTGTCTCAACATAGTAACATAGTATATTCATGTATATTCCTCTGCAATAGCGATCTCTGACGGATGCGAAAAGGGACGATCCATGCGTTCGACATACTTGCATTATCTTGCAGTGCCCATGCCCGCATCATGCCCTTTGGCTACCGACTTAGACTGCTTGCCCAGGGGCCTTCCAGCCACCACATCGACAGACTTCACCCTGACCTTCGCGCCGTGGCATGCTGCAATGCTCCGCGAACTTTCCTCTTTGATTTGCCCGTGCTGTAAAGCCAGTTTGGTGGGTCGTAGGTCGAGTTCTGCAGGTAAGGCTAGGGCACGAAGTGTGGTTTCCTGCGATGCAGCCAGTAGGTCCTCTGAGAGCTCAGACAAATGGACCTGCGGAATCTCTCAGCATGCGTCACATATGAGTGGCTGCACCGGAGGGAACACGTGAGGCCCCGGCGAGTCCCCACAGCTCACGGCCACCTTCTTTGGGTCGTCTCACGCCAACGAAGCATTGACACTTCCAAGCGACGGAGCCTCCTGGAGGCCTGACACCGACGTAGATGCCTGGAATTTTCTGGCTGCAAAGAACATCAATGCACTTTCGTCTCACTGCGCACCGTAGCTGGCGACGTGCAACACCTGGCCCTCCATCCAAAGCTCAGGTGTCCTGGATTGACTTGCTTCGACAAGGTCTAGACAAGAATCCTGGTCCAAGACCACGGCACATCCACGAAATCGGACACATCTTGCCCATCGGCCAGACAAGCGCCTTCTTTCGCCTATCACAGACAGCGATAGCGCGAAAGGAATGTTCAGCAGGAATGTAACCCACGCCAGACTTTTTGCTCTGAAGGTAGGTTCAACAAGGGCTGAGACAGAGATACACAAATGATCGACTGCGGCTCCGCTGATCTGGATAATATGGACGGCTCCCCGTGCGAGATTGCGTCACAGATTTGCCATGGCAATCCAGCACTTGCATTACGACTAGGGCACGAAGAACAGACGACCCCGCCGTGTAATACTCCAGTGCTGGTTTCAGTGTGGTCCGCCGCGAGTATGCAAAGCCTGCAAGAAAACCAGCAGATGTTGCCGAAGCATTCCGGCAAGACTGCCAAAGCAACAACACACCATGCCGTTTCAATGCCAGCGTAATTGGCGGGACGCACTGGCGCTCTCCGCTTCAAGCGAGATGATGTTGATCTGTTGGTCACCAGTGCCCGCATATCATTGACCGTCTCAAGCTCCGTATAGAGTTATGTGCAGGGAACTTACACCTACAGTACCCCCACCGATTGGCTACAACAACCTTCATCTGATCAAAACCATCAAAGACTTCCAATGCGAATATGCCTGACCTTTGTTTTCGAATCACTACGTAACAGCCGTCAACACCTTCCATCTCTTACAGCAACGTCAAACTCTGCAGTCAACGGGCACGCTCCATTTTTCGCACAAAAAGGTCTAAGGCTCAGCGGCCGCTTTGAGAGGTCACAGCGACACAAGTCAAGTCTCAATGGTCTTCGCAACTAAGCTCGGAATTTATCACCATCAATTGTCGCGTTCACCCACAGCAGTCGTCATGATTGTGATTGCCGCGGCAGAAGCATGTTGATAGGGTGCTGTGGTGTAACTTGCTTTATACCGACGGCCAAGAACTGCAGCTGCTACGTCACTGAGACACGCAACTTGGAGCAGTCCCACTGCACACTTGTCGACAATCCTCGCCGGATGTCGTGCTTGGGACATCAACACCACCAACACCGCTGCCTAGGCAGCACCGGACTCCAAGATGAGTCGCACTCCGTGTCACTGCCACGAACACAATGCTTGTCAGCAGTCTGTTGAGACTCATGCTCTCGGGGGTTTGCTGCGGAAGCCTGCTTGGGCAACGGCAGTTGAAACAATCAACGGTTGAGTTGTTTACGCAGACATGGCGCATCGCACAGCTCTCGTCCGAGCCGAAGCCTTGGTTCCAAGAACCGTGACAAGGGTCTGCCACATGTGTCCGAAAGATAGTGTCGGCTGCTGCCGCAGTGTGGCGCCAACTGTTCAAGCATCACCACGCTAACAATCGGAGTGGCACCGTGGTTCACACGTTCGCGGCTGATTGCCCCAGCTTTCGGTCATGGATGCGACCGTTGCCGCCGACTATACCAAATTCATTGCGGAAGAGCACATTCTAATTGGCAAGATGTTCAAGCTTCCCAGCTTCCGGATTCCGAAACACAATTCGAGGACAGGAGGGCATTCGCATGGTGAGCTATCTTCATCCGAGTGGTGCGACCTTCTACAAGCATGTGGGGGATCGATGCACAATGCTCTGTTACAGACACACGTGATGCAGCATCTGTGCAGCTTTGCCTGGAGCCATATTTTCTGCCGAGTGCAGAGGACTGCAACAGGTTTGTGAAAATGCAAAGCACACACAACAGACGTACGCCGAGCGACGTTGGTCTGGACAGAAGCTCATTGGAAATCGAGTTAGTGCAGAACACTGTCAAACAAGATCATGATATGTACTTTGGTGGGACAGCCAGCAACACGTGGAGAAAGTATTTTGGGTTATTTCGGCAGACGCGTACCTTCCCGGGGCTGGTTTTGGAATGACAAAACATCGATCGGATTTATAGGTCTTGCCACCGGCGAAAGTGCCACAACAATCAGAACGATGACAGGGGTTCATGATCTGTTGCATGACGTTTCAAAGTGATTCGAACATGGCTGGGCTGTGTGTACCATGCAGCTGGAATTTCAACTTCGCTTCTTGTCGTGCCATCAACTGCTTCCTGCGGGTATTCACCTGCAGGAGAACTCATAGCATTGGTCGGCACATAGTGACTCGAGACGCACGAAACGGTTGACAGCAATGCCCGGATCTCGGACCACTCCAAGCAATGGTTGGTGCTTGTTGAGCGAACTGTGACGGCGAGCTGTGTGATCACCTGAAGCGTTCGCTTTTTTGTAAAACCTCCGACGAAGCCGCTACCGACGACTCAATTTCTCACATGCCGACTACTTACAAACGTGTGTCCGCGGCAAACATGTGTGCCTCCATCCAGTCTGCCAGAAATACAGTCCTCAGAGAGGGACGTCGCAGCGATTTAGTGGCAGCGTTGCTTGCAATATTTATAAATTATAAACATCGCAGTTGGCAGTGTCATGCATGCCAGCTGCTTTGCACAGGTGCTCATGAGTTTGACCATACACGCAGGCTTTGCTCACTTGTTCTGGTGGCAAACGAAGTGGATCATGGACAGATTCGTAGGACGGATACCGTTCGTCGAAACGGCAAGCGAGAAATTCCTCATGAAGGGAATTCAGATCCTCATGAGCTTATGCCTCGAGATTGCTGTGGACATCTGCACAATCGCAAGCTGCCAACACAACTCCGTAAGGACAATGCTTTCTTTGCAGGCATGACGGCCGTCACGAAGGCATACAACACAGAACAGGATAAGGCCCTAGTGTCGGTGTGGCAAGCCTCCGGAGGGCCAGCCGCTCTGTCATGGATCGCGAGTAACAAGGACAAGGCGAGACTACACAACACGTGGAAGCGTCGTGCGCAGCTCGTGCTACAATTGCCTGTCATGTCCATTCAATTAGGCTCGAAAAGTGCTCTGACCAGACCAGCAAGAAGGTCTGGTCACGCATGCATGACCTTTCAGTGAGCATGCACTCCTGCAAAGCTGATGCAAGCAAGCAAACCAGCAAGCAAGAGAGATGCACGCAGCTGCCTGGGCCGCAGGCTTGCTCTGCAAGCGACTGCCTTCTAGGCGAGCAAGTTGAGCCTGCAATCGAGCTCCCGTGCACCGCAATGGGGCTCCAGACACACCGCAAGCCTCAAGGTCGGTTCTGATGTCCACAGCGCCCCCCTTCATGGAGAGCTCTAGCCTTTCGAAAAGGTGCTGAAGACAGGGCAATTCCACTTCAGCACCGTTTCATCTAAGACGTGCACAGCTCTCCGCGCTTGCCAACAACCCGTACGTGTACCTTCACAGAGATGCCGACAGGCCGAACTGTAACTGCACTAACCAGAACAGTACCACGTGCTTTGCCTTATCTCCAGGGAGAAAGACAGACTGCATCGTGCCACGTGGCAAATCAATCCTGCAACCACTGTCACGGATTTCCGAGAAAAACTGCCTGCGGAAAACTGGAGATGGCCAGCAAGCGCACCTGTTCATCGGGACGATGCCCCGCTGGGCCACTTCAAGATCTGGATGTTTCACATCCACAAACCTCAAGTGACTTCTTTTCGCAAGCGGGATTCAACAGTTGAACGGCTGGGTGCTGCGCACAGCTTCAGAGGTTACAGCGTTTGTATCTGCGCAAGACGGGTTACGTACATATGTCAAGTCGGGCGAGAGACGTGCGTGCAGGGCCTGTTGAGACGACTGCTTCAAGCCATTGGCAAGCAAAGACATCTTCAAATCCCGTACGATCCTGGCAGAACCCAACATGATCAAAGAACATACAACGCTCTGCGCTCCTGCAATGACCCAGAAGAAGATGAGCTGCCTCGGTGCACACAAGGTCACAAGGGCGCATGCGCGGCACCACTAAAACAAGCAAACTTCCATAGCGAGCTTCCAACTGCTAGGTCGCAGAGACAGGGCCACGTGTCCCCTCCATTACAGCTGCTCGCGAAGCATCCGCATGCAGCACAAAGAACTGCCGGCCTTTCTATATCGACATGTGAAATGTAAACCTTATCGACTCGTGAAAGGGTTTCAGCTTCCAACATTGCAAAGCGCAATTGCTGAGGCCACGACCTTGACCTCCTCACCCACTTGAATGGGCTTAGCCACCTGCAGAACCACATTTACCAAAAAACAGCCTTGCTTTGCAATTGCGAGCTGCTCCGCGTGGCTCGAAAATCTTGTATTCTAGTCATTGAAACGTGAGGACGTTCACATTGTGTAGCATGAATGTACACGGTTAAACGGAGATAACATGAATACAAATGTGCTCCTGTACCAGCAGCCAGCACATGAGCGTGGTCACCGACTTTGCTAAATGCGACGAAAAACCCATTGCGCTCAACGAAAAGACCTCTCATGATCCAGACTTCAGCAGGCCACAATCAGGACAGCCGGTAAAACTGTGCGGTCGGCTCCAACATATAGGATGGCGGATCTCTTGATGCCAAGGCCGTAAAAGTAGTAGTAGTAGTAGTAGTAGCAGCAGTAGTAGCAGTAGTAGTATCTTCATTGCGGATGTCACACATGCCTGTGCTCGACGAAAGTAGGGGACAGATGTTCCATCCGGCCGTTCTGTTGACGGCTGCGCCTTGGTAGCATATCCCTGAAAGCCTCGGCATTGGCTATTCAGAATAACCTCTATACTCCTAATCCACAGCATCCAGTGCAATCAAAACTTCATCGCTTGCAGCAGTGACGGGAGTACAGTGCTTGTGGATAGAACGTCTGCTGACCGCCAGAAGGCTGCCAGGTGGCAGGCATGTAATTCATTTCATAGTCGTGACAGTCTCAGCTCCATCTGGATGTTCGTCGCACTCCTCTTCCGGACCATGCTCTGAACCACTGCTGTCTACCAAAATTGGCTCCGCTTCTGCTGGCGTGCTCCCAAAGCTATCCATCCCAGCACCCGAGACCGTGTCCCCACTTGTAGTGTCAGCGCCGGCATCTCCAGCGTGGACACCCATCCCATGGCTTGAAGACGGCCCTTGTTCCGAATGCCGAGCATCCTTTGTCTTTCATCGCAGTTGCAGGCATGTCTCGCGGCATCTGTACGCGTGCACATACTGCAACAGTGAAGGTGCAAACGGAAATCTGTCCACGAGCATCCATGTCCATCATTCGCATGTACATGGTTGAGCATCTTGCACTGTGCTGTCCGACCGAACAAAGACTGCAACAGTGTCTATGATGACGTCTCCCCGCCCGGAAGCTCCTGTGGCATCCCCTCGTAATGCAAAACTGTACCTGTCCTAGCATGGCACCCGAGCGCTTAGTGCTAGGGTTGCCAGAGGTACTAGGATCCGCAAGATGGCTACGAATCGCCCTTGCAGAGCGTCATCTGCTCCCGCAGTCGATCGGGCCATGACCTGAGCAAACGGGATGGGCTCCACAGGCACATGAGCGTGCTAGCCTACGCGTGGTCCGAACCGGCAAGTGCCGCAGCTTTTGTGCATCCAGCCCCATCCTACTGTGAACAAGCCTCGCTCGCACACACGTCGCACAGGCCACTGCCGTAGCGCACCAGTGACAAGCATTTACAATGCAGAGGGCGGGTCAGGACCTAAACCCCAAGGGGGAAACCAAACTAGCCTAAGCATGAACCATTCAAGGAGGGCTTTACGCAACTTTACGCACTGTAGCGCCCACGGCTTCCCCAGAGTATTACTCCGACGGCCCTGGCTGAAATCAGTCGGTCCCTCAGGTGTCTGCGAACTGCAGCAGGCTCAAGCCGACGAGGGAGCGGGCAACTCAGGCGGCAGAAAGCCAGCACCCCGAAGCAGCGCCACATCCTCCGTCTTCGCCGAATGGTATATTGCGCTACAGTGTACGCCAGCAGAACACACCTTTGCCCGTGAGCCCAAGGCATGGTGCAACGCAGCTGACATCTGCCATTGAAAGACACCGCGCTGGCCGCAGTAGGAAATGCCTGCCCTCATGCCAGACCTTGATCAGTGTCCTGGTACAGGCTGCCAGATTCACACTGTACCCACAGATCACCGCTGCTGCGGTGAGACAGGCTAACCAGAAGACTGGGATGGCGTTTTGTCCCATTAGAGCCCGAAAGTGACACAGTGGCCGCCTGCTATCGCCCTCTTGCATGCGAACTGTCTCTCAGTTAAACTGTACGACCCTAAGCGGTCACGCTTTTCTCTGCTTAAGCCAAAGGCGCTGCACGGTCAACTATACAAACTATACCGTAGCCTGGGCTCTCCAAAGGTGGGGACACTTCTACACATGAAAGTTAACACCCTGCCTCGAGGTTTGTGTCGCTGTACTGCCAGTTGTTCACTCGGCCCTGCGGGCAGTCCACCGGTTTACAGTGAAGTGTTTCACTTCCACCTGCGGGTTAAAGTTCGGGCAAGATACCCGCCTGACCACCCCCAATTCCGGGGGTTGTCCAAAGGCCTTCACTCTTAATCGCTTCCCCCTAATAGTAAACAACCCCCTAATATTAAAAATACTTTTTCCCGGACCCCCCAAAAAATACCCCCGCCCTTTAAAACCCATTTTGGATTAGGGGGTGCAGGTCTAGGGTTTTAAGGTTTAGGGTTTAGGGGTCCCTAAACCCTAAACCCTCAAGGTTTAAGTGGGGTTTAGGGTTTAGGGTGCTCCTTTGAAGGGTCGGCTCTCTGTTTTCGGCTAACCACTAGGCTAAAACCATCCTGCCCTGCATGGGGATGGGCCAAAAATACACATCCCAACCATGAGGTTACCACCAGCCTACTTGAACCAGTAGTGCTAGTAATTGGCAGTCGTGCAGCAATTGGCAGTAGTGCAGCAATTCGCAGTAGTGCAGTGATGACCAGTAGATTGGCAGTAGTGCAGTACTGGTCATTGCTGCACTACTGTTAGTGCACTACTAGTCAATAGTGCACTACTGCCAATTACTGCACTACTGGTCAATACCTGCACCAGTGCAGTACTTGCTGCAGTAATGTGCAGTAGTGCAGTAATGACCAGCAATGCAACTATTGGCAGTTAGTAGTGCAGTCATGACCAGTAGTGCAGTAACTGGCAGTAGTGTGGTAATTGGCAGTAGTGCACTAATTGGCAGTAGTGCAGCAATGACCAGTTGTGCAGTGCTTGGCAGTGGTTGTGATGACCAGTAGTGCAGTATTTGGCAGTGATGCAGCGATTGGCAGTAGTGCAGCAATTGGCACCACTCTCGACTTTGTGTGCCCAGAGCTTTTGGTCACCCAAAGTCTCGATTCCGGGTGGGGAAAGGGCCGAAAGGACACTGCAGGGATCGAGCCAGGGTCCCCTGCCACTCATCCAAAGCATCCGCCCGCCCGATAGACTATGGAAGGATAGTCACTGGGACGGCGGTTATCACATCAGGAGCTTCAGAGAAACTCCAGGCGCCGTCATTTGTTTTCCAAGACACCCTTTCGAAAAGGCATCTGTGAAAGGCATCCTTTCCAAGACACCCCTATCTTTCAAAAGGCACCTTTGACAGGCTCCATTTAGGCACTCTTGAAAAGGCATCCGTGAAAGGCATCCCTCTAAAAGGCATCGTTGAAGAGACATCCATGAAAGGCACCCTTTTCCAAGACACCCTGTCCAAGGCACCTGTGAAAGGCAGCAATGACCAGTAGTGCAGCAATTAGCAGTAGTGCACTAATCGGCAGTAATGCAGTAATGACCAGTATTGCAGTCATTGGCCGTAGTGCAGCAATTGGCACTAGTGCAGTACTTGGCAGTAGTGCAGCATCATCATCATCATCATCATCAGCAGCATCATACCATCTGGCAGTACAGTAGTAATTGGCAGTCGTGCAGCAATTGGCAGTACTGGTCATGGCCTGTCGAAGGCACCTGTGAAAGGCAGCAATGACCAGTAGTGCAGTAATTAGCAGTAGTGCACTAATTGGCAGTAATGCAGTAATGACCAGTATTGCAGTCATTGGCCGTAGTGCAGCAATTGGCACTAGTGCAGTAATTGGCAGTCGTGCAGCAATTGGCAGTAGTGCAGCAATTGGCAGTAGTGCAGTGATGACCAGTAGTGCAGTACTGGTCATTGCCTGTCGAAGGCACCTGTGAAAGGCAGCAATGACCAGTAGTGCAGTAATTAGCAGTAGTGCACTAATTGGCAGTAATGCAGTAATGACCAGTATTGCAGTCATTGGCCGTAGTGCAGCAATTGGCACTAGTGCAGTAATTGGCAGTAGTGCAGCAATTGGCAGTACTGTAGTAATTGGCAGTTGTGCAGCAATTGGCAGTAGTGCAGCAATTGGCAGTAGTGCAGTGATGACCAGTAGTGCAGTACTGGTCATTGCCTGTCGAAGGCGCCTGTGAAAGGCAGCAATGACCAGTAGTGCAGTAATTAGCAGTAGTGCACTAATTGGCAGTAGTGCAGTAATGACCAGTATTGCAGTCATTGGCCGTAGTGCAGCAATTGGCACTAGTGCAGTAATTGGCAGTAGTGCAGCAATTGGCAGTACTGTAGTATTTGGAGTATGGTCCCCCTGGGGCGCGCCCTACGCGCTTCGCGCGCTTCGCGCGTTTCGCGCGCCTTCGCGCGCTTCGCATGGCTTCGCGCGCTTCGCGCGGCCTCGCGCGCTTCGCGCCTCCGCGCGCCTCCGCGCGCCTTCGCGCGCTTCGCGCGCTTCGCGCCTCTCGCACGCCTCTGGCGCCTCTTCGCGCGCTTCGCGTGGCTTCGCGCGGCTTCGCGCGCTTCGCGCGCTTCACGCCGCTTCGCGCCTCTCGCGCGCCTCTGGTGCCCCTCCGCGCCCGCTTCGCGCCTCTCGCGCGCCTCTGATGGCACCCCTCCGCGCGCCTTCGCGCGCTTCGCACGGCTTCGCGCGCTTCGTGCGCTCCGCGCGCCTCCCCGCGCCTCCGCGCACCTTCGCGGGCTTCGCGCGCTTCGCGCGCTTCGCGCCGCTCCGCGCGCCTCCGCGCTCCTTCGCGCGCTTTGCGCCGGTTCGCGCCTCTCGCGCGCCTCCGCGCACCTTCGCTCGCTTCGCGCGCTTCGCGCGCTTCGCGCTGCTTCGCGCGCTTCGCGCCGCTTCGCGCATCTCACGCGCCTCTCGCGCGCCTCCGCGCGGCTTCGCGCCGCTTCGCGCCCTTCGGTTGGCTTCGCGCGGCTCTTCACGCGGCTTTTTGCGCGC